AACTTAAAGAAGTCCAGACGCTTTTCTTTGCAAGCTCCTTTGACTACGATGACCTGGATGACTGAGAACCTTCACAGACATAAGGTGTTATAGGAATGTAAAGGCTAAAAAAACAGTCATTTGAGCCTGTTGCTAGGTGGTTGCTAGGCAATACCAGGACCTAATAATACCTGACATAGAGGAGAACCTTCAGAAGCCTTCAAGATGTACCTTTGTGCCAAGTTTGGTGGCTCAAGTGATTGTGTGGGAGGAATTCACAGATAATGACAAACCCCTTCATCCAGTTTCACCTGTGTGACTTTAATATGGCCACAGACTATTGCTGTGCTTGGGACAATTATCAAGCTATGGAATAGTTTAATAATAGTTTAAGTTTGAGAGCTCCAATGTGGTATAATGTGTTCGAAACTGCCTCTGCTTGGAGTATGTGGTGCATGCTCCAGGCAGCGCAATAGAAGAACTCAAACCTCTGATGCCCTCATGTTAGTGAGTGCAGAGCCTGCGGCAGAAAGCCTGAGTTAACAGATAGAGATGGCAGCGATGGCACAATTATGTTTTCCCATTTAAATCAACAGCATCACTACCTTTTAAAAGGCTTTAAATAATTCATGAGTCCGCTAAGACGACCAGCCGAGTGAGTTTTAAGCACCAAAGTTAAACCTGTGTAAATAGTACAGTATAAAGACAGGATTAGCAGTAGAGTCAGTGTGACGTGACTCGAGGAGTAGCTGGTCTGTTATAACTTAGAGGTCTGGCCATTAGTTGGTGTAGCAGAACGTGAGAGGACTTTGGTCTGCAGAAAGTCCGACACAACTGGAGCGACGATGTCAGGCTTATTCAGGTGGATGTGATGATCACCTGGAACAGTCACCACGGCATGCTGAAAACACAGATGAGACCAGTCACCATGGTGAATAAAGCAGGCTTTCGACATGGAATAAAGGACTTTCCGGCCACTTGAGCCGCAGACTGCGAAGCACAGAAAGATCGAATAAGGAAGTAAAATGGACTAAACTGTCATTCCTGTTACTGCCCAGCAGGGGGCGAGTTCTCCGATCGCAAAAACTGACCCTAGTTCTCTTTTTATTTCTGAAATCACTAAACATTTTCATGGTGAGTTTAAGGTCTCAATCACACAAGTAAAAAATTCAAAATGGAAACCAATGACATAATGGCTACATCCATCTTTTTATGCAGTTTAGGTCATGAACTTAGACTAAATCTGAAAAGTCTTTCAACGTTAGTTTAGTTCAGTGCAGTTTGTAGATATTTATTTATGCACAGCTCTCCTTAGATCACATTACAGTCGGACTGACGTCTGGACTTTGACTGGCCGATTGCAACAACTTGATTCTTTTCTTTTTTTTCAGTCATTCTGTTTTCTGCTGTGCTTGGGATGATTGTCCCATTTCATGGTATTATTTTAGCCAAGCTTTAACTGTTTGACAGATCGCCTCATATCCGACTCCAGAATTCTCTAGTATACAGAGAAGTTTGCGGTTGACTCAATGACTGCGAGGTGCTTGGGACCAGTGACTGCAAAACAAGCCCAAATCATTAGTCTTCCTCATCCGTGCTTCACTGTTGGTATGAAACATTTGTGCTGGTGTGTTGTGTTTAGAGTTGTGGTCAAACATCTCCACTTTAGTTCCGGAAGTCATGTGATTTGTTCAGCACCTCCGCAAACCTAAATGTGCTGCCATTTTACTGAGAAGAGGTATCCATACTTGTTCAGTCTTTTTTTCTTATTGTGCCATCACAAAGTTTAACATTTAACATGCTAACTAAGTCCGAGATGCATTGAAGCATTGTGTTAACACACTTGTTCCAGCTTCTGATTCTATAGAGTTGATCACAGTTACTGATTATCAATTAATCAAGTGCATTACATTAGCAGCACTTGACTGCTACTTACCCTCATGGCTCCTATGAAAAGCCATTTTAAATGACTGTGTGTTAAACTTGTAAACATGAAGTCCTCCATGTTTACAGCAGCATCGTAAGTCATTTGGAATATTTTTGGGCGCTTAATGAATGCAAGTCCTACGTTCGCTCTCACATCTCTACAAACACCTGAGGGAAAGAGCTGAATGCTCCACTGTGCTCACCACATGCCACGCTTATCTTTTGTTGCTCAGTGAAAATCTGACTGGGAAAGAAATCCACTCAGTGGAGACGATTGGTGGAAACGCATCCTCTGCTCTCCCTCATCAGCAGCACTTGACCAAGTTCCTGTATGTAGGTCAGTGTTGAGATTCACAGCTATATAAATTTCTGCTGCTCCTGAGACACTGAGCTCATACTGCACTGCTACTCTAGCATCCGTGCAGCTGTCTGTCTGCTAGGAACAATTATGCGCAGGCTTAACGGCTAAAAATAAACACGGGGATGCAAACATACCTGCTTTCCACACAAACAAACAGACTGTTAGGTGCACTCACATTTTTGTCCCTGTAGGCCTGAAGAAGTGCTGATGCAAATTTCTTTTGCTCGTCTTCAGCAAATATTTTCTCGAAGCCACTTTCTGCTCTGTAAAGACAAAAACAAATTGCAAATCTATTTAGTCTCTTATTTTTTTCCACAAGCAATACGAGAACGAGAGGCAGGAGACCATCTTACAGAACAACTAGGACAGAGGCCGTTATCCTCGAATGCAGCTCCAGACTCTGCTCCAAATTGATGCGTGCTATGTTTTTCTGAAATTGAGAAACATTGTGCACGTTTATACCATCTGCTGCAAATGACAGCTTGGGTAGAAATGATCAGGGGAAACCTACCAGATTAACACGAAAGTCTCTGGAGAACACAACTCCTGCAAGGGAAAGAGAAGTTACACTTCAAACATAAGGGGAAAAAGAAATATAGAGATGAGTCGTGAGAGAAGGTAAACGAGAGGAAGATAAACACGCACCTCCCTCAACCTGAAGCAGACCTCGCTCCAGAAGGATTTTCGCAGAGCGTTCAGAAAGACTTTGGTTTACAGACATCAACCTGAAGATTGCAAAAACAAAGTTAGCGCATGAGTGAACTCCTTTAAAGCTGCCGATAAGGGAAGGCGCTTTACCTTTCTACTGCCTTCTCGTAAGTGTACACTCTCTTCTTCTCCTCCATCGATTTTTCAAACAGAAGCATCTCTTCGAACCCCTGCCTCATCACTTTGACCATTTCCTTCTGCGAGGGAGCAGATATAAATAAGGACAGCAACTGAAAACGGCTCACAAGGGTGAATTGTACAGGAATAATATGGAGACATGCAACATGCAATAATATAATGTAAAGCCTCAGCCCAGGCCTAAAGGTCAAAATCGCGCCAGACTCAATTACACTGGTGGCCGCAAGTGTTTCTTAAATGCAACGCCTTTCAAAATGTCAAACCGCCTACAGCATTTTTCATTTTCTCACAATCCAGACTTCATCAGACACTGTCACAAAGTCATGAAGCCCTGAAGTGTAAATCAAACTATAATTAGCTAGAGGTCACCAGAGAGGTGTTTCTCTCCGAGGGGGGCTTCACGTCACTGCAAATTATATGCTCTCAGAAACCGAGCACCTCCTCTACTTTTCACCTACGCCTCAACGTGTTCAGGAGAAAAACTTAATTTAGATGAAGTTGCTAGACAACAACAGCCTTTTTGCATACTATAACAGAAGCTGTCACATTAAAGTTCATCAAAAATAAATAAATAAATAAATAGTTGTCCACTTTTGAAAGCGTCACCCAGGTCATCTTTCTGTTTGCTGGAAAAGAAATATCGGAGTAAATCAAACAGCTCTTATTTCACACATAACTGCCATTTTTAGCTGTAACTAAGAAGTTTGTTCTTTTTTTTTTTTCTTCTTCTTCTTTTTTTTTTTTTTTTTACACAGAAGACTGGAAATTTTAAATAATAGCAGGCTGGATGAGATAATACAAACACAGTGAGAAGCCTAAGGATGCTTAAAAATCACACTTCACTCAGGAAGAAGTAATCAGAGACACGTCAGCGTTATAATTTCCCCCTTCATGGGTACACATGATGCACAAGAGGGTGTAAATGAACCTCTGATGGGAATTGTATTTATGGTGACAAACAGTGCTGCGGAAAAGTCTTGCAATACCCTTTATTTCTTTATATTTTGTTTCTAAGGAGCCAGATTTTCTTGTAATGTTTTTAAGTGGTCTTGAAAAGCAGTTCTCTTGACTCCAAATTACACAAAAACTGGAAAAATCAGTGACATGTAGCGATGAATTCGAGAATTCAATATTTTTGGTTCCAGTTGGTGTCGGTATAAACGGAGGAGGAACAACACTGACTATCTAGGCTGTCTGGAGCCATCTGCAAAACACAGCGGAGGCTCTGCCCTGGTTTGAAGCTGCATGTCAGCCGGTGGTGTTGGAGAGCTTGTCAAATTGATGGAATTATAAAAACAAAAACATATAGTCAGATTTTGATCCACCCCATCTGACTGGTAACAGTTTCATTTTTCAGTATGACAATGCTTCCAAACACACCTTCAATGCAGTAAAGTGAAATGACGGGCGACTCAAGACTTTTGCACCGCACTGTTTTGCTGCTTTAACGATAACATTATTGCAGTCACGCAGGCTTCCCAGTCACATTTGAACCAAAGCTTCCACAGGTTGTGCAGAAAAGGTTTGACCATTTTTCTGATATGTAGTTTTACTTAACTAGAATAATCTATAGAGCCAGGTCTGCCTTGATGCCCCAAGAGCAACCCACATTTCATGCGGAGCGGAAATCAATTATTATGCAGCATTTCTAGAAGAAGCTGGAAAGAAAATCATGGTGGACAGAACAGACTTCCCCCCCCTCCCCCACAGCAAACATCTCGTTTTGGGGAGAAATAATCATTGATAAGCAGTGTACCAGTGATGGCTGCACTCCTGCATTTTTTGGATGCTAGTTAGCCATCATGGCTCATTGGGACACCTGCTAGAACCGTAACACCGCTACACCTGTTCTCCCCCCACTGAGCTGCTAGTGGCCTGCACTGGCAAAGGCACACCAGAGGACAGGCCAATATTTCAAGGCATATTATTTGTGGAAAACAGTATATCATACGCAGCTACTGTTCAGTTGCAAAGTAAAACAATGCCACAGTGGCCCCAGGCTCTGGTCTACCACAGGATCCAAGGGACTGAGTTCTGAGTGAGCTTGAAAGATGCTATATGTGTGTATATATATAGTATAATCAGACAGTCCAATGATGCAAGAGTCACGTACAAATTCACTTTGGGTGAGGTAAGACATGAAAAGTGAGCATTTAACTACTTCAGTCTGGCATATATATCCAACACCTTTACCCTAACCCTTTTCTAATTTTTCAATTCTTTCAACGTGCCACTACATAGGTTGGGATGGTGGTGGGGGGTGTACAGGGTTAACCGTATACCGGGTGAGTCAGAGAATGTGTGGGTATCATCTGCTGCTGTATTGTTGAATAATGTTTCCTATGAAAACAGATGTGGAGTAACAAAGGAAAAAAAAGAAAAGAAACAAGTACCTGGTCTGTAGGTAAAAATCCGTAGGTGTCCAGCAGCACAACGGCATCCACCATCTCCGGATACAGAGCGCTGAACTGCGGAAGACGCCACATGGACAATGATGCCACCCAATAAAGCACAGCACTCTCAAATGTGTCTTAATCGTAAGTCACCTACCATTCCTGCAACGTTACCACCTGAAATACAAAGAGGTGGACAGAAAAATAAAATAAACGTGCGCTTTTAAACATACGTTTTAAAGCTTGAATTCTTTATACAGCTGCACTCACCCATGCTGTGGCCTATAATGGAGAATTTGCTCCACTGCAGAGCTGTGGGAGTAATTTCACACATCATCAACCAGGTTCAGTATCTCATCACAGAACACGGACCATTTTTAGCTCAAAGAAATCCTCACTGCTGTGATTCAGCTGTCAGGAAGATGCATGGCAGCTCTAGCAATATGCTCGAAATTAATAACATTCATTAAAGGGCCTTTTTATTCTAGATCCATAAACTGCATATTAAATTATGTCAAATGTATATTCATATTAAAATCATCGCATTTCAGTTCAGAGTTCGCCCACTTTTTAAAAAAAACAAAAACAACAAAACTGTCAAAGCTCACAAAGCATCCTGTGAAAAAGCCACAGATGCTTTTATATTCATATATTCTACATTCCCTCTGATCCACAGTGAAGGCTGAGTATTATGACACTGTTATGGATGATGCGGCAACTCATCACTGCCTATGAGCACAGCGTGAGTGGGTGAAACTTCAACAGTGGGGCTGCTTCAGTCCTCTGTGACGGGCCGTAGCTGTGATCGTGACTGCAGGATGGCTGAGCTTTGGCGTAACACCCGCATCAGGTAGTTGGTGGTACTCCAAGTATAGATAAATATGTTACAGGCGCATTTATCTACACACCAAGCCACCACGGCTGTGCTCAGTTTGGGTGAAGCCACATTAGGTGATCACCGCGTACGTTTGATTACACTAGGAGGAGTAGCCAAGACTTTTAGAGAAATGATAGGTCAGTTAACACAAGACAGCAGCTCTTTCATACACTGTGCCTCTTTTATGGAAATGGATCAAACTGGCTTACATCATATCAAACATGTTGATGGAAAACAGCATCTTCTGTTCCACATGGGTGGCCTTTAAACCTTTTGTTTTATACTGTAATAAAAAATATTGTAAATTTACCACAAATATCCCACTGTGTGTTTTGATTATGTGTCTCATATAACCAAAACACACAGTGAATCATCCTTCAGCCACAGCAGCCGCCGGCTCTAGAACAGTCCGAGTCCAGGATGTGATTTCAGCACACATCATCTACTGGCCTTCATTTACATTTTCAGCTTTTTATCCTTTGCTCTTCAACCCTCACTGTTTTCCTCCTAATTCGAAAGCTTTGCCAAGATTTTATCAGTTTTTTTAGAGTTTCATTGTTTTCCAAAACGCAAATTTTTTGTCCTGAGCTACAAGCCTGCTTCAAGTGCAAACTAAAACAATAATTATTTACATTTAAATTAACAATAACTATAACTAAAGTTTGCAGTAGTGCCCAGTTATACTGCAGCCATACTGCCTCCCGAACACCTGCGGTGTATTTATTACATACCTGTCATCACAGGCTCAGGCTTAATGCTAGCTCATGTTAACAGGACCAGTGAAGAATAGTTACCGTGCAGTCATGAATACATAAATAGCATCATAGCCCGAGCATTAGACACATCCGCATCTTCAGCCAGCAGCTGTGCTGGCTGCAGGGGCAGTATACTGCTGCAGCTTGCCTTTGAGAACAGTAACGAGCAATAAATATGTCATGTTAGCTTTCACAACATTTCTCCCAGAGTTTCTCTCAACCTAATGGACCAAAGCGATTCCCATGGATATGAGGGAAAGCAACTAAGTGTACAGTTAAAGACCTCTTAGGATTATAAATGTGGGGTGCAGAAGTTTATGGAAGGATAACATGTAAGTTTCAGCCAAAACTCGATGATCACAAACTGCAATCCTGGAACAAACACTGATATCTCTGATGGGATTTAAAGGCTTAACTGCAACTGTCCTCGAACTCACACACCATCAACGACTCTGCGTACATCCATCACGTAGGAAGGAAAGGCGTGCAGAACTCCAGGAGGACGGTGCGACGAGCGACCGTGACCTGCCAGGTCCATTGCCACATATCGGCACTCTGAATGGAGACACAGGGAGAAGACAAACTAAAAATCGCTTTCAGGTTAATAAGGACACAAAGCTAGGAAAACACTCCTAATCAGTCAGCTACAATTGTAAAATCTGGGTAAAGTGCTGTGGTAATTATGTCATCATCAGATCCAGTCTTTTTGGATGGGATGCAGCTGTTCCAGCAGCTGAGCGGCAGCACCTGTTTGCACAAGCTGTACACTCAAATTAACTGAACGCCACACACCTGAGTGAGCCGAGCAGCAGAATCCGCTGATTTTAAGAATTATTGCCCATGGGGTTCAATTTTTGGCACTGAGATTTCTACAGTGGGAGCCACTGGAGATGGTCAATGTGCATTGCACAAAACACTTACCTTTTGGCAGGAGGGGAACAAGCGTGTTGAATGTACCGCAGTTGTCAGCCCAGCCGTGCAGGCACAGCACAGGATGTCCGTGGTCAGGACCCCAGACTTTACCTCGGATCTCCCCCCACGGGACTGCCACGGAGAGCTCTGAAACTGGACACAGCGCACTCTGGTTTAACAAGACTTGCGACATCTGTCTGGTTTAGTTTCTGATCATGTGACCAACTGTAAGTCACACTGTAAGAGGCTAAAAATGAGCTGATCTGATTAGTTGATGTGAAGGAACAATAATTAAAAAAAAAAAAAACTTTCCCTGGTGGACATGTGGGTGAAATATATCTCCTCACGCCCTAACTCCCCTTTGTTTGGAGGCGGGGCTTGGCTTTGTGGGCACAGCTTTTGTTTGACTAATTGCAGATACCTGTGTCTCACTAGCTCAATTAACCGACAGGAATAAAAGTCGTGCTCAGCTCGGGATGTCAAACTTCAGTTAATGGGCCACAAATGATTCAATCTGCTCTAAAATCTCAATACAGCAAGTTCAATATTCATACATCTAGTTATAAAATGGGTAACAGCTTGAGACTTTTTTTTTTTTTTTTGCCTCTAAAAGGATACTATTGAAACACCTTGTCCAAGTCCCAACTTTAACTTTGCATACAGTAACTATGTAGTAATGCTGGCCTCGCCTCACTAGGAGGAGCTGAACATCTTACTGAAACTAAAGCTATTTGAGACTTAGCAGTTTTCAGATGTGCAAAGCTAGCCAGTGTGCCGGACTGGACCCTTCAGTGGGCTGGTGCTGGACCCCAGGCCTCATGTTTGACACACGTTATTCCTACAGTTAACAATACTTTAAAATCACAAGTTCAATCAGGCAATAACCTTTGCCCCACAAACCTGTCGGCTGTCCAGATATTTTTATATCTGTGAATGACATTATCGCTCATGTCGGCGCTGTAAGACTGCGAATGTGCTTTAATTGTAGACGAAGTCGCTACTTTGCAAACACTATTTCTTTCCCTCACTTAGGACTGCTTTAAAAGGAGCACGAGCCTTGCCGGTTACCTGTTTGTTTCATCGTGCTGGATGTCACGTGTCTGACGCCTTTCAAAGCCTGCATCATCTTTGCGCCTGAAAACACTGCAAATAAAACCTGACTGACAACTTTTTTTTCCTTAAACGTGTAAACTGCTTCAATCTACTTCGGGCTCTTTGACACTCACTGCTGTCTTCCGGGTGTTGGACCGCACGCGAAATTCTATTGGCTAGACGCATGTTGAAGCCATAGTGTAAACCAATCACAGTTTAGAAGAGGAGGGACTTGCCGTTTGCCTCCCCAATGTTATGTGTAAAAGTCCAGCAGAGGGACCCTGGTGGAATTCAGTGAGGTTTACTCACAACTGGATTTAAGATGTTGAATGCCCTCCCTAACATTAGCCCAGTAGTGACTCATAATGAATCCCTTCGTGTAATCTGCATATCCCTGTATTTTCTAACATTGTAATAGAAGACCAGCATTTTCCAAGAGGAAATGCCAAAGGAAAAGTGGGATGGGACAGGTCAGCCCAGTCAATGCACCAACTTTCAGCAGTGTAGGAGAGGTTAGAGGTGTTATAGGACACTAAATTTAAAAATAGATGGGATCTGAAAAGAATGGAAACTGATTTCAACTGGGAATGGAGGGGTGGAAGGCCTGTCTTCACTTTGACTTCATTTGTCCCTCTTCAGCCTGTGGTGCTGTTGCTAAAGTCCACCTGTCTATTCAAATTTCCCTGAGGTCACTAATGAGCAGCAGCAAATGCTTGGTAGGGCATTTGTCTGATCTTGCTCTTCACTCTAAATGCAGGCTGTATCTATATTGTTTTGGTGCCACACTAGTCTTGCACACTTAAGTGTGCATTCATGCTGCAGCAGATAGTAGGTGAGTGTTACATGCTGGAAAAATGCAGTACTTAAATTCAGCTTCATGCTCTTTTCCTAATGCTGCTTGCAACTAGACTTCAGAACTGTGCAGTATGGCCGTAGACATGAATGAAGACTCACGAAAGAAGGCCTCCTAATATGTTTAGTGCAGCACTGATACTCAATTATAGCAATTGCAAACACACAAACTTCTCCCAGGAAACTGGTCAGGTTAATATTATATAATTGACACTGTATTAGTTTGTAATTTTAACAAATGAAGGCGGCAGCAGATCGCAGCCTCCCCCCAGTCATTAACTGTATTTGACCTCGGATCAGATGTGTCACCTGATTCCAAATTATGTTCAAATGCATCAAAACTGGACTGTGCAGCATCTGTGTACACCCTTTCCATTTGCTTGAGAGGCAAGATGATTCCATTGTGAACATCAACACGGTGCACTTTAGCAGTTATGGGGGATGGGGGGGGATGCAATTTGCCTGAAAACCTAAAACGATTACAAAGTTTGACTACTGTCCTATAGTAACTAAATGACTGCTATTGGCAGTAAAGTTCAAAATATTGACTAGGGCTTTAGTTAAGATGAGCTATAATGGGAATGTTGTATATGACTTTGTTACCGATGTGTGCATATCAGCATCACTGCAGTGCCTTAGCCTGGACATTTCATTTTGCATTTTTCTTACTGGTTGCATTTGAATAAACTAGCATAATTCTGCCGTGCATCTACCTGTGCAATGGCGTAGTAATAAATTAAAGCATGTGGGCAGCGCAGGGGCTCAGCTTTCAGGTTAGAGGGAATACCAAACAATCAGTCCTCAGTAACAGAATCTGATACATTTCAAATCGGCTGAGACTGGAAATCAAAAGAAACAGAGGTTTCATTGTTCAGTGTGTACCCTTTTGAAAACTGAATAATTAGGACTCGGGCAGAACCAAACGTACTGAGAAAATGTGATTCGCCAACACAAACTGACCCAAAACTCAAACCGGCTATGCAATCCAAATGTATCTCATGGAAATGTAAAGTGGTTCTAAAGGTTTTATTGGTCACCAGAGGGGCTTTCCTGATAATTAGAGTCATGAGTGTGTGTACATTAATTTTTCTTATGCACATGGTAAATGATTTTTATACAAAACATTACAGCAGGTTTATACTGAACAATTAAGCTGCTGGTGTCTTACATAACCTTGACTTCCTGGGTTGGTGTGCATTCCTCTGAGTTGGTGAGTGTGTCTGTCTGCACATATATTCTCCTGGTGGAATTTCAATCAGGTATTTTGTACATGTGGTTGCGGGTATTATCTGGATTTTATAGCATCCTCTTTAATTCCCTAATTACATTAACAGTGCATCAGATCTTGCATACAGTCATGACCACAAGTAATCTTGGCTGTTGGATATAAAGATTCCTGTATTTCCACCAACATGGCAGATAATCTGATCTTAACTGTGTTGAAATGTTGCTATTTAAGTGTGAAATTATGAATCAATTAGCAATAAAAACCTGACATGGTGCACAGCTGTTCTTGCATATAAAATTCTGCAACGTACTGGGAAAACTGTCAGGATTCTGAGACTTCTTCCTCCCATTAGAGGGTTTTCTAGATTAATCATAATCTAAGTGTCTGTCCCCCCCACCCCCTGAAACTCAGGTGGTAGAAATCATAGTAATGTGTGTAGAAGTGTCCTTAAGTGTAGCATGGAAGAAAAGGGCACAGACTATTGTAAGCTGACAGGAGCGCTGTTAACAGACCCCAAGTGTTTTTACTGCAGGGTTTTTCTAGTAAACTAAAATCACTGGCTAGACTCAAGAAAATCAAGACTGAAACAATTCTGACATTTTAATACTCTTGGAAGCAATTTGATCAAATTTATTACAATTGAAACCCACTATCTGAATCTAAAGTCAAAATTAGGAAATTAATCTAGAAAGGTTTGATCAAAGCAGGGAAAGATCCTGAAGTATAGTGTGTGTGTGTGTGTGTGTGTGTGTTCTGCCTTGACATTATATCCATTGCTCCAATGGAGCAGAATTACTGTATCTCTGCAGGTTTTACTGCAGAACTATTTGAGTAGCTAATGACAAACTGATAAGTGAAAATACTGGACGAAGTTTTAGTGCAGGGAATTGCTGTGAAATCCACCTGCTGTGTCTAATGTGAGCAGGCTGCTCTAAAATCACACATGCAAAAATGCTTTAAGATGCTAGATGTGCAGCTTGGAAAGGTAACACTAAAACTAAATTCTCAACTAGGGCACTATTTTGTATTTTTTGTATTTCCTTTTTTTTTTCTCTCTCCCTCGATAAATGATCTACTCATGAGACTACCTGGGCCACTTGATGGCTCAGCCACAAAACACACCAAAGATGCCCCAAGTGGCTAAGTCACCTGGAATTAAGTTTCCAGGTAGACGTTGGAGGCATTGGGAACATTTGGGAGACGTGCAGTAAGAGGCAGCCTGACCAGAGAGCTGGAGGGCGGGGGGGGGAACAAAAACTTGGTGACAGGACAGAGGGAGGGAGTATAAAAGGTCAGCTCTGGGGGGGTTAGTCAGGACAAGAGGAATTTGGTGTAACTACACAGGATATATTACAAGCTTGCAGGTAAGGCAATGGATTCTGCAATAATATAATTAAACAAACAATATATATCATGACTTGGGATTTAAACATTTCAGGGGGAATTTATCTTAAACTTTTATTATTATTTGTTTTCTTTCAGAATGCTTAAGGAATCTGTTTTCCAGTTAAAAAGGGGGGAAATGTAAAATGTCAACACTGCTAAATTAAAAGCTATCTTAATAAACTAGCATAAGTAGAACAAAGGAAATGCATGACTGATTAATGCACTGTGGGATAATCTGTAAAAACTTCACTTTGTTTACATATCTCGCAGCATTCTCATGAGCTCAAATGCATTAAAACTAAAAGTGAATCTGATTTCACTTCAAATAAACTATTTAAAGCTACACTGAGGTTGCCAGTCAGACTCCCTGAGTTCATCTGAGGTAATATATCCATCTTTCACAAATTGCCCTTGACTGAAATTGTTGTTGGCTCTCAGCCATTAACTCAAACAGAAGTGCAGTACAGGATAATTGCATCTGTAACTGACAAACTTCATATAATCAGGCAACTTTTTTTTTTGGATGAAGTCTTCCAGATATGATCTGATTTTTTTTTCTTTTTTTTTCTCTCCCCTCGTCTCCTCAGATCATGTGTGACTTTGACGCAGTTCTGAAGCACTGGGGACCAGTGGAAACAGACTACACTGGCTATGGGAGCCTGGTTTTGAACCGGTCAGTGACTCTGGAAAGAAAAATAAGATTGTACTCTTTGTAGGTCACATTACTCAGACCTGTGGCCAGGAGTTTAAAAATTCATCTCGTCCAGTGCAGTTTAAGAATAGAATTCATGTGTTATTTATGCCACCACCTGTCTAATTGCACACTTGGCAACCACTGCTACATCACTAACTTTTATGATACCTACATTTGTGTTTGTTTAAAACACGGAGGTATTAAATCTCTTTGTCTTAAGGTCATGGTTAATGTTTGACTCAGTTATATTCAGTTGCTTTAGATTTCCTTCCCCCTTCTAATTTGTGTTAATGGACAAGAGGAAAAACGCCATTAACTGATCTAATTTAATTTCCGCCAGTGCCAACACAAACATGAGCATACTGAGGATCATAATGGTGGCACAGGAGCTATTCTACTGAAGGAGATGGGATGGGCCTTATTAAAGCGGTCCCGTGTGTTTGTATCCAGTCTTCTCACAGCCAGGAATAAACATTTTGTGCATAAGAGTGATGTAATCAAAGTATGATAAATTATGGCGTCTACACTCCCCACCCTAAATGGCTAAAATGCAAACCATGATCTGTGTGGTATGACCCTGCTGCTCTATTTCCTCTTCAGTTTATTCACGGAGCACCCGGAGACCCAGAAGCTGTTCCCCAAATTTGTCGGCATCCCTCAGGGTGAGCTGGCCAGTAGCTCTGATGTTGCTGACCATGGAGCCACCGTGCTAAAGAAACTAGGCGAACTGCTGAAGGCCAAAGGCAACCATGCTGCCATTCTCAAACCTCTGGCCAACAGCCATGCAACAAAGCACAAGATCCCCATTACCAACTTCAAGGTGAGCTTGGTGTGCAAGAGGACAAAGTTTACTGTAGCTCCATCACCTCATGCTTGCCGTTAAACTGAGCTTGACTGAAGTAAATGAATTTTTCTCCTTCCAGCTGATCTCTGAGGTCATCGTTAAAGTCTTTGCAGAGAAGGCTGGACTCGACACC